CTCTCGATAGTGCAGCGGTAGAAGTTCACCAACACATGTATTGGCATCCCCCATCGCTTGAGGCACCTTAAGAAATAAAGGCGCTGCTGAGCCTTCTTCATGATAGAGTCAGTTTTCACAGTCCAGGTTAGATCTTTAGAGATGTGAATTCCCAAAAACCTAAAGCTGGTGACTGTTTCCACTTCCACTGTTTCCACAACAAAGGTGTTGTTTTCATTATAATAAAAAAGGAATTGGAATACCATCATGGGTGGTCATGACAAAACAACAAAATAACAAAAAAACAGTTAAACTCCTAACATTATATTTCTAAAATCAAGTACAATTAGAGTTAACTTACTTTTGACGAACTTCCATTGAATTTCAAAACTACACAACAGAAAACACATACAGTTCTGAACTAAAGAAACTTCGTGATAGACACCAGTGTTCCCTTCAATGTGGTTTTATAATTATGTGTGGAATTGACAAGAAATACTGGAAGAAAATGTAGCTGGAATGCCTCACATATCCTATAAGGTTTTAATGGAATTATAAGAAAGTTATAAAATAAATTCATGAGGAAGGTTAGAGACCAATTTTGCACTTCCTTTCACCTGCGTGTACAGTATAAGTCTCGCACGTGGGACTTCCTGTAGTGAGATTCGTTTGTCACCTTCCTGGCACCTCATGTGCACCCATGAGCAATTCCCTGGAGCAATCCCCTCAAAACAGAGAGGGTGGGGTCAGAGTTGTCTCATTTGTTGATGTGAATTCACTTTCACATTTTTAGGGGATAACATAACTGCTGAATTTCATGTATTGTTATTCGTATTAACAAGGCAAAGAACAAAGGGTGTTGAAGAGCAATGTTGGAGGATGTTGCACCACTGCTAAGAATTCTGAGAACATTATGCAATTTTTTTCCCACAATGAAAATTGCATGATGTGTCAAAACATTTGACAATGCTGCACAGAGAAAGGGCACATTTCTTTTATCTGGACTACAAGGTGAATCTTCTAGTCATTCAGGGCTTTCAATGTTTTATGAAAAAAAAACAAGTTTTGAAGAAGCATGAAAGAGAACTGTATTTAACTTCTGTTTAAAACATATAAAACACAAATAAAAGTACAATATAAAATATAACAAAAATCTACAGTATATTTTATTGATTCCTCCTTTCTTAGCCAAGACCATTTGTAAAGCATATAACAGAGGATAAAGATTGTGAAAATTTGGTTAGGTTGAGCTGGCTTGCTTGATTATTTACTTATATATTTTCATGATTTCAAACAAAACACTTCATAAGAAATAAAAATCTATTAGTATTTGCAGGGCTTGATGTGCAAAAAATGTACTTGCCAGTTGGGGATTATTTGGGGGAAAAGCTAACAGGAGTCATGGCTGTTACTTCCATATTAACTTTTGAGAGTAACAATGGAACATCTGACATAAAATTGATCTAAGGCTTTTCAGAATATAAGGCAGGTCTTACAATAATAAAAAATAAATCAATAATAAGAGCTTTGCAGCATTACTGTACAGTGCCTTGCGAAAGTATTCGGCCCCCTTGAACTTTTCAACCTTTTGCCACATTTCAGGCTTCAAACATAAAGATATAAATTTTTTATTTTATGTGAAGAATCACCAACAAGTGGGACACAATTGTGAAGTGGAACGAAATCTATTGGATTTTTGAAACTTTTTTAACTAATAAAAAAATGAAAAGTGGGGCGTGCAAAATTATTCGGCCCCCTTGCATTAATACTTTGTAGAGCCACCTTTTGCTGCGATTACAGCTGCAAGTCGCTTGGGGTATGTCTCTATCAGTTTTGCACATCGAGAGACTGAAATTCTTGCCCATTCTTCCTTGCAAAACAGCTCGAGCTCAATGAGGTTGGATGGAGAGCGTTTGTGAACAGCAGTTTTCAGCTCTTTCCACAGATTCTCGATTGGATTCAGGTCTGGACTTTGACTTGGCCATTCAAACACCTGGATACGTTTATTTGTGAACCATTCCTTTGTAGATTTTGCTGTATGTTTGGGATCATTGTCTTGTTGGAAGATAAATCTCCGTCCCAGTTTCAGGTCTTTTGCAGACTCCAACAGGTTTTCATCCAGAATGGTCCTGTATTTGGCTGCATCCATCTTCCCCTCAATTTTAACCATCTTCCCTGTCCCTGCTGAAGAAAAGCAGGCCCAAACCATGATGCTGCCACCACCATGTTTGACAGTGGGGATGGTGTGTTGAGGGTGATGAGCTGTGTTGCTTTTAAGCCAAACATATCGTTTTGCATTGTGGCCAAAAAGTTCGATTTTGGTTTCATCTGACCAGAGCACCTTCTTCCACATGTTTGGGGTGTCTCCCAGGTGGCTTGTGGCAAACTTTAGACGAGACTTTTTATGGATATCTTTGAGAAATGGCTTTCTTCTTGCCACTCTTCCATAAAGGCCAGATTTGTGCAGTGTAAGACTGATTGTTGTCCTATGGACAGACTCTCCCACCTCAGCTGTAGTTCTCTGCAGTTCATCCAGAGTGATCATGGGCCTCTTGGCTGCATCTCTGATCAGTCTTCTCCTTGTCTGAGCTGAAAGTTTAGAGGGACGGCCAGGTCTTGGTAGATTTGCAGTGGTCTGATACTCCTTCCATTTCAAGATGATCGCTTACACAGTGCTCCTTGGTATGTTTGAAGCTTGGGAAATCTTTTTGTATCCAAATCCGGCTTTAAACTTCTCCACAACAGTATTACGGACCTGCCTGGTGTGTTCCTTGGTCTTCATGATGCTCTCTGCGCTTTCAACAGAACCTTGAGACTATCACA